GGTTAAGTACCAGTATGTATGTACTTGCTAAAAACAATTGTGCGATCTAAATGTATGCTACTGTTCAAAAACATTGATTTCTTTATTTTCAGATTGATAGTGATCATTCAGTGATGACAAGTATACCTAAATAAATATCAACGTATTTTGAAACTATTAAATATTTTTAAGTATCAGAAGAAAATAAGTTCGTTACATATTTTTTTAGCCAGAAATCATCCTTTAAGGGGGTGAAAAGGGGGTGGAAGTTTGTATGGGAAATCAATAACCGCTGAACCGATTTAGATTAAATTTCGTAAGAAGATAGTTTGATTCTTGTGGAAGGACATACTTTTTACCGCGACAACCGACATATACACAGAGCCGCAGGCAAAAATTAATACTTAATAATGATAAATATAAATGCGAAAATATTCCTGTCTTCACATTATGTTTTCAATTATATTACTGTTAAAGTAACGTTTTGTATTTTTGTTAATAGGTAGACGTTGTAGAAAGATATAGGGTATTTTCTATCACGAAAATAAATAAATTTATTATTATTATGTAATAAAAGATAAGATTTATTATCATTAATATGTTTGTATTTAGAATGACATAAATATGTTTATCAAAAGTGTGGTTACCATAGCATAAGCTCTGCCTATTATTTTAAGGGAATATTAATCATTTAATTTAGACTTTGTTAATTGAATTTCTGAAAGCGTATATATGTGTAAGTAACACATATCAAGATCGCATCGTTACACGTATAAACACAATTAGTGCAGTCTGGTCTAGAGCCACATATACTCTAACCTTATTCCTTAAGGAGCCAGACAGTTGCTAATAAATTGTATAGCCAAATTTTTGTAACCAGTACTGTTAGCGCAATTTGGAAACTAGTTTGAAAGATTGATATCTAACATCAGAGAAATACGAATTAATTTATTTATCTCAACTGCCAGTCTCACAGATTGATAGACTAGAGCCTGTGCTATAACAACCAGAATGCTGATGAAAATATTTTTGTATTACGAGTACTAATGCATGACAGACATGAACTTTTACAACATATTATGATGGAACAGGTTGCCAGTAGAATAGATACAGGTGGCAGAAAACAGTCGTGGCTACGTAGCGTCCAAGAACAGACGGGGAATCGCGAGTGCTGCCTTTCTCTTTTCTCTCGCCAAGAACATGAAGGAGTATATAGAGCTAATTGCTAATCTTCGCTAGTAGAAAAGGCACGCACCGAATAAACATAACAAAACCCACAAACAACTTACTCTAGTTACGATTACTGTTATTTGTCAGCACCTCATTTAGTATTTTATGTGCTAGAATTTCGATTATGTGAGATGGTGGGTAAGCATTCACCCAGTTTTTAATTACCAAGTCCATAATTTCAATAGTTTGTATTTTTTGTGTTTATAAGGGCCTTCCTGCCAACCTTCTATTAAGATGCAACTGTTATATATGTACATGCAAAATAGAAATATTTTCTTGCTATTTATAATTAAAACAAAATTTAGACTATTAGAAATAATAGACATAATCCTGTAGATGATGTCACTAGGCGCGCTTCCGACTCTATTCGCCAATGCTATTACGAGTACATACAGGATAAAATACACACATGCACTTAATAAACAGGCACGTGCACACTTTTAAATATGTCAACTTGTAACTCCAATTGCACCATTTAACACGTGGACACAATACATAAAGATATTCGGTACATTACAAATAACACGAGTCCAAGTTGCACCAAGTGGTGTCACGCACGCAGCTGTTTCTTGCACGATTCGTATCATTCACCAGATGACGCATACAAAGTACAAAATTGTATGGATTTAATACAAGATAGGTAAGGTCCTATGTAAAACCCAGATTATATGCCGTAAGAAAGTTGCATATCTGTCATCATACAAAAATTTCATTATCCTGAGAAGGCACAAACCTAGTGCCTCTGTAAAGTGCAAAGTATGTAAAGCCCTTTCTGGTTGTACTATCATAGATAATTCATCGAATACGAAGGGTAAAAAAATTACATTACAAGGAATACTTTAAAACTTATTTTTTTAGTAAATCCGACTTACCTGCACAAATACGTTGGTTTGACACTTAAATAAGAAATGTGTATTTGTATGAAATATGTATGTTTAAATAACATAAGTGTCATTTACACACAAGAGGACATTTTACAAGCCTTTTACAAAACAATACTTATATTGTTTACAGGCTTAACTTCATCCACAGCCTTTAATAGTCTACTACTGGACATAGGCCTCTCCTTAAGGCTTAACTTAAATCTCTGCAAATTAGTAAGCAGCAAGCTAAAATAGATTTTCGAAAGTACTTAATACATAAACTAAATACCTAAAATACAAGCAAAGTACTCCTAGCTAGTAGCTATAAGCAGGGGTCTTGCTTGAGACATTGCGTCAAGCGTATGACATGCCCGACAAAGCCCGAGGAATGACAAAAGTAAATTTAAAGTACACTGCGCAACCATGCAACTATCTAGATCACGAAGTCGTAAGACTAATGCTTGATACCCGTCATCATAAGCAGTTCCAAACACCCTGATCTCATAGCCTCCTAATAATATTTTAACTAATAATTTTAAAAAATTGCTATTAAACCACAAATTGTAAAGGATATTTCTGACCTTATTTTTTTTACATTTTAATTTACTTTAGATTCCTAGTTATTTTATTAGTAAGTTTTGTATACCGAAGTGTGTTGATATGGTAACATAAATAGTAGAAAGTGTATGCTAGCGCCATCTAGTGGTAATTGGTAGTGAAGCAAGTTAATAAATCTCTCTCTATTGAAAACCCCGAAGCGTGTTTTATTAGGTTATGGGCCCAGACCATCTAAAAAATAAAATTTACAATTAATAAAGTGTTAAGTACTGTTATTGTGCAATAATAATGACGGCGAACTATATAGCTAACGTACCTAAGTTGCGAGGTCGTGAAAATTATGGGGATTGGTGCTTCGCGGCAAGAAATCTTTTGGTGTTAGAAAACATGGCGTCATCAATTGAACAAAAATTACCAGCAGCAGCAACTACAGCAGAAAAAGCAGAAGACGCTAAAGCGAAGGCCAAGCTTATATTAACCATCGATTGTTCCCTTTATGCTCACATAAAGCAAGCCACGACAACTTATGATTTGTGGGATAAGTTAAAAACCATGTTCGATGATTCTGGCTATACAAGAAAGATAGGTTTGCTCAGAAATCTCATCAGTATTCGTCTTGAAAACTGTGACACTATGACGCAGTATGTGACCCAGATAATTGAAACAGGGCAGCGACTTCAAGGAACAGGTTTCAAGTTAACAGACGAATGGATTGGTGCTTTAATGTTAGCAGGATTGCCTGAAAGGTACGCGCCGATGTTAATGGCGATTGAACACTCGGGCATCGAGATAAGTGCCGATGTTATCAAGACAAAGTTGATGGACATGTGTGCTGAGGTTAGTCCAGTTTCAGGTTCGGAAAGTGCATTTGCAGCCAAAGGGACGCATCGTGCAAAAAGTGGCAACTCCAAAAGCGGCCACATACAGTTGCAAGAAACGTCAAAGCCGGTAAAGGTTATAAAATGTTACAAATGCAAACGGATTGGACACTATAAAAATCAGTGCCCCAACTCAGAATCGGGTAAAAGAAAACAAACAAATGCTTTCAGTGCTATTTTCCTGACTGGGAAATTCAATCATAACGACTGGTATATTGATAGTGGGGCAAGTAAACACATGACAGCAAGACAAGAAAATATCGTGAATAAGTCCCATCAACATGACAGGAAAGAAATTATTATTGCAAATCAAACAAGTGTTCCAGTTCTGTGTTCTGGTGATGTCAACATTATTTCAGTTGTGAATGGTGTGGAATATGATGTCACAGTTACAGATGTGTTGTGCATACCGAATTTAACAACAAACTTGCTTTCGGTGAGTCAGTTGATCGATAATGGAAACAGTGTGATTTTTAAGAAAAATGCTTGCTTCATTTACAATCAACAGAAAGAACTAGTTGGCGAGGCAGAATTAGTTGAAGGTGTGTACAGGCTATACACAAAAACAGAACAAATATTATCAGTAACTGCTATAGCATCGAGTGAGTTTTGGCACCGACGCTTGGGACATATAAACAGTACTAGTCTAACAAAAATGAAAAATGGAGCTGTGGAAGGAATTTCATATCCAGAAGTGTCAAACATAAGCAAGGCATCATGTACTATTTGCTGTGAAGGCAAGCAAGCTAGGCTGCCGTTTCAGCAGAGTTTGTCTAAATCCGAGAATGTCTTAGAAGTGATTCACGCAGATGTATGTGGTCCTATGGAAAGCCAATCAATCGGAGGATCTAGATACTATGTTTTATTCGTGGATGACTACAGCAAAATGGTATTTGTATATTTTATGAAGACAAAGAATAATGTATTTAACCATTTCAAGGGTTTTCAATCTATGGTTGAAAAACAGAAAGACAGAAAGATTAAAATTCTTAGGACAGATAATGGAGGTGAATTCTGTAGTCTCGAATTTGAAAAGTATCTGAAGGAGCAAGGGATAGTTCATCAAAAAACTAATGCTTATACACCGCAACAGAATGGCCTGTGCGAGCGTATGAACAGATCAATTGTAGAAAAGGCCAGGTGTTTGATCTTCGACGCTGGGCTAGATAAAAAATTCTGGGCTGAAGCGGTTAATACTTCGGTATACTTAAGAAATAGATCTGTCGTTACAGGACTGGATAACAGGACACCTTATGAAGTCTGGACAGGGTTTAAACCGAATGTAAGTCATTTACGTATATTTGGCAGTCCAGTCATGGTGTATGTGCCCAAGGAGAAACGTTTGAAATGGGACAAAAAGGCAAGTAAGCTTATTTTTATGGGCTATTCTGAAAATGTAAAGGGCTATAGGGTTTATAACCCTGAAACCAATTCTATTAGTACAAGTAGAGATGTAATTGTCATGGAGAAGCCTGTTAAGAGTTCAGTGGAGATGTTAGTGGAATGTAAGTCTTCAGCGGAGGAAGGATGCACCAATGATTCCGAGAATACTGACAGTGAAACTTCAGACTCAGAAAGGTTAGATACACAAAAAGAAAACTTGGACAGTACATATGTGGAGGGTACTACTTTAGGGAGTACTACTTCAGATGAAGATTTTTCTAATGCTACTTCAGATCCAGATATTACTCTGGAGGTGCCAGGAACTTCAGACACTCAATCAAAACGAGTTAGAAGGAAACCTGACAGATTTGGTTACAATAATATATGTATTACACAGTGTGTTGATGATAAAGAGATAACCCTAGAGGAAGCTTTAAATGGACCTGAGAGTAAGTTTTGGCGGGCAAGTATGAAGGAAGAGTTAGATTCGTTTGATGAGAATGATGCGTGGGAGCTTGTTGATCATCCTCAAGATTGTACAGTAGTGCAGTGTAAGTGGATTTTTAAGAAGAAATTTGACAGTTCTAATAATGTGCGTTACCGGGCAAGATTAGTTGCAAAAGGGTTTAATCAGAAAGCTGGTGTAGATTTTCATGAAACATTTTCGCCAGTTGTAAGATATTCCACCTTAAGATTACTTTTTGCTCTGGCCGCTAAGTTAAACTTAGACATAAGTCATTTAGATGTCACCACTGCTTTTTTAAATGGTTTTTTGAAAGAAACAGTGTATATGAAAAAACCTGTTACTTATAAAACCTGTACTGATGATGATAACAAAGTGTTAAAATTAAAGCGTGCCATTTATGGTCTCAAACAGTCTTCCAGGGCTTGGTATCAGAGAGTTAACGATTACTTGTTAAATTTGGGTTATAAAAAGTCAAAGTATGAACCATGTTTGTTTACTAAATTTGAAGGAAAAGTCAAAGTTATGGTAGCACTATTTGTTGATGATTTTTTTGTGTTTTCCAATAGTGTGACATCCACTGATCAACTAATGTATGAACTAAGCTGTAAATTTAAGATCAAAAACTTAGGTCAATTGAAACAATGTTTAGGCTTAAGAGTTAATATCAATGAAAGTATAATAACAGTTGATCAATCACAATATGTTGATAATTTACTTAAAAGATTTAACATGTTACATTGCAAAACAGCAGAAACTCCTATGGAGACAAATTTAAAATTGGAGAAGTCCTTAAATGTTAATAAAGATTATCCATTTAGAGAGTTAATAGGCAGTCTAATGTATTTAGCCGTCCTAACTAGGCCAGATATAGCTTACAGTGTAACTTTTCTTAGCCAGTTTAATAATTCTTATGATAAGGTTCACTGGAAGGAAGCAATGTATTTAAAAAATTTACTAAGTGAAATTGTTGGTAGTTCAGAACCAATTGTTATTTTTAATGATAGTCAGAGTGCGCAGAGATTAGTTTCCAATCCAGTTTTTCATCGCAGGTCCAAACACATAGATATAAGATATCATTTCATCAGAGAGGCATTAAATAATAATTTTATTAAGATATCTTATTTGGAAACAGCTGAAATGCCAGCAGATATTTTGACCAAAGGTTTAGGGTCTGCCAAACATTACTATTTTATGAAAAAGCTTGGTATTGTACCTATTTCATATTAATTCCGAAGTACCTACTCTGTATTATTTTTGTTAAGCGGAGGTGTTGATATGGTAACATAAATAGTAGAAAGTGTATGCTAGCGCCATCTAGTGGTAATTGGTAGTGAAGCAAGTTAATAAATCTCTCTCTATTGAAAACCCCGAAGCGTGTTTTATTAAAGTGAACCATAGGGATTTGTTGATGTTGTGCCGGATGCATTAATTGTTACTTAAATACATATTTACTAATATTATAAATGTAAAAGTTTAGATAGATAGATGTTCATTACTCAATAACGTCAGAACGGCTGAACCGAATTGGATGAAATTTGGAAAAACATATAAATCAGTGATATAGTCTTTAAAATAGGACATTCCCAAAATAGCTTTTATGACATATGCGGAACGAGAGTAGATCGGAACAAAATTTTGATCGAATTTTTATTACGAGAATTGGCCTTCAATGAATGCGAGTATAAAACACTATGTTACAGATATTAGAGTAAGAATAATTGTCAGAAAAAGTAATCGTCAATTAATGAAGACATACTTTTTTTAAATCAGTATACGTACCTATTAAAAAGCGTTTAAAGTGCAGCTCAGTACTCGTATTTACTTATCTATGATTTTAATAATGTTTATTACTATAGCCGTTAATCATGAAAGCTGCAGCCGACGGACAACACTTAAAGGCGAGCCGGATAACCATCAACATAACACACGTAGCATAATGTCAAGGTGAAACCGTACCATTGTTTCAAATGGCCATACGAAACGCGAATCGTAAGTAACCAAATAATGAATAACCATTCATTGCGACCCGTGCTTTTTGATAGAAGTGAAAGATAACATTTATGGGCGTGAAGGTTTTAACATACGTAAATTGATTTTATTAATGATGTTTACCGTGTTTATCCACAAATATTTATACACTAGCTGAGACCCGCGGTGTTACCCGCGTTTGTTGTTATAACCGCGGGCAACGCCGCCGGGCGAAGCTAGTCTAAAAAAAGTAGCCTAAGTTACTCCTTATGTCATCAGCTATCTGCCAGTGAAAGTCCCATCGAAATCGGTCCAGCCGTTCCAGAGATTACCCTGAACAAACAGACAGACAGACAGACAGACAAAAATTGTAAAAAATGTTATTTTGGCATATGTACATATGCATTTAGTAAAAAGCGGTTATTTTAATATTACAAACAGACACTCCAATTTTATTTATTTGTATAGATAGGATCTTCCCAATTTTTTTGGAACGTTATCATAGTTCGGGACTGAAATACATGTGTAGTCAGACTAAATTACATTTTTGGCATTTTAATTGCCAATAAATATTGCTAGCACCTTGCCCGTTGTAACAATACCTACTAGTAATTCTTTAATTTATTTTCACTGAGCTACTGGAGAACAATCGATTCAGTTCTTTCAGAGTTCATCAACTATAAACATACAAGTTTTTCATCCTCAATATTAAAGTATCGATAGACAACATCTGTTTGGTGGATGATAAACAGAGTACCTACTTGAATAAAATACGAAATCTTACCAGAAAGTTTTAATGTTATAATCAACTTCAATATGAGGGAAACTGATATTGATATCTTCATAAATCAGATTTCCATTATGTTTTATAACAGTTTAAACACGGTCGTTGAGCCGGTACGCATCGTCATAATTTAATTAAACGACACCAACGCATCGAAAAGAGTTCACTTACGTATGATATAAAAAGAGTCAACAAAATCATTTAATTGTAGCCTTGGTCCAAATAAATGAGAAAACAAGTTAGGCATTACGCACTACAAATAGTGTTGCCATTTTTTATTTAAAATTTTGCTCGTATTTACTTTTCGTACCTACTAGAGACATCTATACTATAACAAAGTTTGCTCAAAATGTTATAAAGTTATTAATTGGTAGGTATACTTCTACTATTCGCGATCTTATAGTAGTATCAGTAGTAGTAGACAAATTTCTTCGTCTGCATGTAGACATTGAACATTTCTACTTAATTAACACTCAATACATTAAAAGGACTATGATTTATGTCTCTATCTATGACTATCAATCGGCTGTCATATCGCTAAATGCGATTTCTTCCAGACAAAGTCAAAGATGATAATAATTAATGAACAATTTTCAGTATCATTATTAATATTTATATCGGTGTAAGTAGACGGTTTACGTATAAAGGACATAACAAGAGAAACGTCGAAATATCCCATATTTAAGGGTAAATTGCAAACTGGGCAAACTAATTGCTATTGCTACCTACAGAGCAAAGTGATAACGGTAACAGATGTTCGACGATTGCTCGGATGAACTTTAAATATTGTGCGTATTATACAAGCTGTCCTACAACTAAACGAAAATATCAGTGGGTTTAATTCAGAACAAGGTCGAGAATATATGGATGTTAGTGGAGTCATTTGTTTTAAGACAAATATGGTGTTATAAGTTTATTTTTTTTTAAATAAGGACTAAACAAAGAATTTACTATGTTTTAACATCCTAATACTCGTCCATAAAAACGTGACATAAAAATCATGATAAACGGCTTGAGCCGCCCATTGATACCTGCAACTTAAGAGTTACAAGCCGTGGGGGGAAAAGGAGCTGGGCCTCCGATCACCTAACTAAAGTGAAAAGTAACAAAATAATTGTTTGACGTTAGTTTTTTGTGAGGCTCTGGTATTTTTCCATATATGCTAAAGCAATCTAAAGCTCCTATGTGTGTTCTATATCAGTCTCCGAATTAAATTCTTTTCATTAAAGGTTTATCTTAGTTATATTTTAGTAAGTGTAAATTCTTACGAAAGTACCATTACAAGTTGACAAACTTTAAAGGTTTCTATTTCAAATATTATTATAATAAATACACGTTATAACTTAGAGAAAGTAGGTATCAACTCTTCCATGTATTATAAGCAGCATTTAAATTCGTAACAAATAGCCTGTACCTAACCTTTCTTACTAAAACAGGTTTCGAACCAAAAAGCCAATATCAAAAATACTTGAAACTTAAGAATTTAAGTAACAGAATCTGAAATCATAGAAGTACAACAACAGAATTTCTTCACATCCCTGCTTTGTTCTTCCCACCACTACTTATCAATCTAAGACCCTGCCTTTTAAAACGTAACAAATCTAAACCCTTTACATCTCGGTATGCTTATAAAAAAAAAATTGACTTGTCAAATACAGGATTGTTGAAGTATATTTAGTTGTAGGCGTGCCATCCTTGAGCACACCGGGTGGAGCGCGGCGCTTACGCAACAATCCATGTGTACGAAATGCAAGTTAGTATAACAAGAGCACACGTACTCGATAAATGCCGCGCTACTTTTTATGGGTACTTAATTTCTTCCTTTACTAACCGTTGGCACATGATATGCATCATTTTATCTTTATCAAAAGTGCTTAACTCCATGTAGGTAGAGCTCTATTTTTTATATTTTTCATAACATAAAAAATAGGTATTCGCTTAGGTACTGGCATTACGACTTAAAAAAATAAAAGGTCTAAAAATATGTAGATGAAGATGATGTTGCGATGAAGTTTATAAATTAGGTGCTTGATTACAAAGAATCAAAACAAAGAAGTTTAAAACGATTTCACTTCTGAGTGGATTCCAAATAAAGGTTAACATAACTATGCCTTATGCTCGAATTTTCTATTGATTTTCTTTTTAGCGCCTCTAGTGACACTGATCTGTACACAAAATTTAATCATATAGATCAAAACGTAGGTTCAAGAGAGTTGTAGGATGAATTATTTCTCTGAATGAATGAATTAGATAAAATGAAAGATGATTTGACGTACGTTAGACATAGTGTATTTATATTGTTAATTGACCCGCTTTTATTAGCTTGGTATATTTGGAATAAAATTAAAACTTCGTACAATTATCAAGGACCGACGACAATACAATGATTTGATAAATTTGGCTGATTATCCTGATCAGGCTCTTCAGGATTAACGGCTTTTTCCAACCCAAAAAAAATACGGTAGTGTCTTTTGTTACGTACTAAGAGGCGTGTGATGAAGCATATGCCACTAACTTACTTGTTACTTTTTAATCTTAATAAGAAAATAATTATCATTAATGACTAAAAAAGCAAAATAAATTATAGTTAAAAAAACTAAAAAACACCTTGTTGTAACTAGCTGAACTAAAAAGTAGAAAATAATTTTCTATAAGTTCAAAAAGATCATCGTAAGAAAACGTGGGGTGCTTTTCAAGATATTACCATATTGGTATTGTATCTATATTTCTCAATAATAAATTACAACAACTGATTTCTAGCACCCCACGCATTATTGCCATTAAATAATTTTTAATGTTAATAATGCGACTTATAGAAAATTATTTTCAAATTTTTAGCTCGGCTAGTTAAAAAAGTTTTTAGTTTTTTAAACCATCATTTATTTTTGTGCTTACTTATTTCATAGCTTTACCTGATTTTTTTCTAAATACGAAGTACAGTTAGTTTCTAAATGAGTAATATAGAATAAACGTTACAATTGCCTTAAAAAGGCTTTTAGATAAACACCATTATAATAATATTTCTACCACATACATACACACAACGCCATCTAGTCCCAAACTAAGCAGAGCTTGTACTATGGGTACTAGACAACTGATATAAATACATATATACTTTTTTTTTGTAAATACATACATATTATACATAGAACCATGCACACAAATTTTTAACACGAGCGGGAATCGAACCCGCGACCTTTGGAATAGCAGTCCGTTACACAAACCACTACGACATCCAGTCGTCGAATTGAACATTATTGCTATTGTGTAACATCTGATTGGAAAATTATGAACAGTGAAACCGGAAAAAATCAATACCGTCATAATGAATTTAATTTGAATATGAACAATAAATTTATCACATCAAATGCTGAGGTTGCTGCTGCATTTCAGAACTTACAGAATCAATTTTAAAAGATAATGTTAGTAGGATTGAAAGTGAATTTAAGTTCCAATATGTTATTAAATTCTTTAAACTGTTAATTTTTAAAAACAACCGACATATGGGGTATGTCTGTATTAATTAATAAGACAATTAAACCTCTTGTGGCCAATCAATTCTCATTTACATTTAATCAATGTGTTCATAGATGTGTATTTCCTGATCTTATGAAGTCTAGTAAAATTCCCAACTAACTTTAGACCTATCTCAGTACTACCAGTATTTAGCAAAATTTAAGGAAAACATATGTATGATCAATTACAAAGTTTTTTTTTTATAATAATATTTTTTTTACACAATAGAGAATTTGATTTTTCAAGAGGTCGCTCCACAACTGATGCCAATGTTAAGCTAGTAAAACATATATTTGATGCCTGGGAGGATGCCCACGATTCTCTAGGTATCATTTACGATTTATCTAAAGCTTTTGATTTTGTTGTTCATGAAATGCTGATCAGGAAATTACAGCACTATGGTATCAAAATTAAAGCACCGGAACTTCTTGCTTCATATCTAGATTCAGAAAGTTGATATTAATGATGAGCGGTCTCCAAGCTCTGTGGTAGAAATGGGCATTCCACAAGGCTCTATTCTCGGCCCCTTTTTGTTTTTAGTATGTATTAACGACTTACCTCACTCTGCTAAGGACAATCTCGAGATTGTGTTGTTTACAGATGATACATCACTATTATTAATACTAAAACAGACACTTACTAATTTCAAAGATATAAATAGAGCCATGT